TCTTGCATAGAAACTGATTTTCTTTTTAAGACTCATGTTTATGATATTTGTCAACGTTACTCGCCGTTTCCTAAGCAGTAGTGTAGAGTTGACGCCAATTGCGATTTCCTCGAAATGCTCCACTTGCCGCGAAATTTCCTCGAGCACGACACAACCAACAATTTTCACTTGTCCATTTCGGCAAAGTTCCGCGGTATGATTTTACTATTTCTTTTACATGTCGTTTTCAAGTTTTCCAACTTTGGTCGAGGGACGTCCATTCTCGCAATAAGCATTTTTTCCTCCATGGATCTTCTGGCAAACGGTCTTTTCAGGAGGTCATCAACAATATGCTGTTCCATGATTCCTATTTAATTTTGCACTATGCTATGAACAATATTCCATCAATGCGCTGAGGCTACTGAATGAAATGCAGACATGGTAGTGAGAAAATTTAAAAATTTAAAAATTCGATGTATGCGTGTTGGTAGGTATACAACGAATGACGGCTCTCCAAGATTCAATAAATTCAGAGAGAAACTCAAATGCGACGTTGCCTATACGTGAAAATTTATTCTCTTCTCTTTAAACTGTGCAAAGATAGAAGTGCACAAAATAAACACTAACACAGCGGCAATTATGCTTACGGGATTTCAATACATATACAACTGATCTGGTTGTAAATACGAGCGTTTCTGGTGCACAAGGAAAAGTGCTCAGTAGGGTGCTTCATTCTGAAAAAAGTGATGAATTTCTGATGGGCCACCCTCCAGTTCGATTCATAGCCCCAAAATATGAACCTGTGCAAAAATTGGTAAAGATTGATGAAGGTTTAGAGGTCGCGCCAATGATTTGAAATTTGTATGGGAATTACTATGGAAGAATTTAAAAAATCGCTTATATCGCTATAACTTTGCTTCTACTTGTCCAAATGTCGAAAAAATTTAATATGTTATTGCTATGGCAATAAACAAAAAGCCTACAGTTGCTACGCTCAGTTTTGCAGCGTATCAAGAATTATAAAAATGTGAAAAAATGGCAAAATAGGGTAAATTGACAGATGAATATGTACAAGGCAACAACGCCAATTTCATCGCAACAACAACAGGCTTGTTGATCATTGTCATGACAACCACATATTTTTTTTTTCAACGTTTGGACAACTACAACCAAAGTTAGAGCAATGTAAACGAAAATCAATAATTTCCCATACTAATTCACCAAAATCTCCATACAAAATCCAAATCATTGGCGCGACCTCTAAACCTTCATCAATCTTTACCATTTTTTGCACAGGTTCATATTTTGGGGCTATGAATCGAACTGGAGGGTGGCCTATCAAAAATTCATCACTTTTTTCAAAATGAAACACCCTAGTGCTCAGACTGGGAGAACGGGGAGAACTAAGCATGCGGTGGCTTTGGTAGAACGAAGGCATATTTTCCCTGCTTGTTTTGTGTCGCTCATTCGCCATAGAAGCCCAAAAAGAGTGTTGTCTGCACGTGGTAAAATCCCATGCTATGCCTCGCTTCTGTTTTTACGTACTTTTCTTTCAGTGGTGGGTAAAACGGAGGTTGAGCAGCGATGTGGTAAACAATTCAGCTACTATCCTGTGATGTGGTGGATAATTCAGTTACTATCCATATGGAACCAATAAATAGGGCGGACAAAAATGGTTTTCATTGAGTATTAAATTTTTGCGTCTTAACTTTTATGAAATATTAATTTTACTTTTTGAAAATTCGAGACTGTGCAGTGCACGAGGTGCACATAAGGACGAGACGCCACTGCTGTATTATATTCGCTCCCTGCGCCGCACGGAGTGTACCGCTCATTGTGTGGATCGCTTTCTCACAGATAAGTTTGAAAATCATATATCAGCTAATAAACAGATATTTTGCAGAGATATCAGGATACCACGGCTTCTTAAGAGCTACTCTGCCGTTAAGACTTTTCATATGAAGACGATTTCGTACGGATTGTGATGTCAGTTGAATGGAAAACTCGCTTTCAATCTGTTTCGCAATTTTCGGAACTGATAGTCCCCGGTCCAGCTCCGCCTTCTTCACGATAGCTTTGTCAATTCGGCCAGTTGTATTTGAAGGACGCCCCGATCGCTTAGCTGGTGAGATAGAACCACGCTTTTTGTACATCTGCACAATTCTAGCGACCGTATCTTTGTGAAGCTGGACAATATCGGCAATATCACCATAGAGGTAACTCTAAGACCAGAAGGTCCCGAAGAAACGTGCTCAACTTTTTTGATTCAGCTCTGGTACCCTCTTCGGTTCCAAGCTAATCAATGCACCCCTCGAAACATAGGAAAAGCCATGAACCCCTCATTCTATCTGTCAAACTTTCATAGCGAATCTAAACGAACTGTGTAGTACTAGAATTTCGACTAGAATGGGATACGTTAAACGATTTGCTTGGGACCAATAGGCTAGTCAAGTAGTGAGCCAATTTAAAATCGTTAGTTTCCACCTGAGTACTGCGAACTCAGCCGATTTTATTTTTCAAGTGAGCTAGAAAACATCTTGAAAATCTTCCGAAGTTTCAAATTGTTTTGCTGAAACAGCTCATGAAATTGTATATACATGCTGTCAAATGAACTCTTGGCTCCTCCTCCTCTGCTCCAGAAATAACGTATACATGGTGATGGGAGTGCACTTGCTCACAAAGCTCACATGACTCTTATAAAGTTTGATTACATTCTTGTTTCAGCAACCCAGTTTTAGCATTATTAATATCAAATAAAAACACTTTTTCGAGCATCACGCTCGATGATTTACATTATCCGCCTACTAAGGTTGATGTTTCGACAGTTTCATAATTATAATTCTTAATTTGTTTTCAGTAGATGGCAACACCTTTACTTGTGGTTCAAACAATAACTACCTACGTGACTTCTGAGCTCTTTCGAATGTTTGGCTCCCGTTTGACAGTTTGACTTGGCTCCCAGATGACAAGCATTTTGAGTTAGTTCACAGGACTCAGGTTTCCACCGGCTGTTACAACGCTCTTCATTGATCGGCTTTTTTAATTTAATCCTTCTTTGACCACGTCAACAAAAATATATTCCTGTCCATGTTTGCTGGTTAGACCCTGGGTACTGCGGAGTCGAGCAATTTTATTTTGCAAGCTAATGGAAAACTGCTTGAAAATTTTCTCAAGTTTAAAATTGATTTGCTCTTTCTCAGTTGATTCCCGCCAAAAGCTCTGAGCCAGGAGTGCTCGAGCCCCCATGACTCTATCAAAGTTTGTTTACATACATGTTTCGCCAAAGTATGTTTTACTGTAATTGAAAACTCAGCTGCCTCATAAAAAATATGCTGGTTTTTAAACTTCCATCACTAAGCCTGTTGGTTTTTATCTTTCAGCTTAAAAATAAGAATGTGTTATGAAAAAGTATAAAACATTTTTATGAGATTACAATGCTTGACGGTAGATAAGAAGAGTAACTGCATTTGCTGCTTCTGAATGTTTGGCTCCCGCTTGACAGTTCACACTGGCTCACAAGTGACAAGCACCTTGAGTGAGTCCGCGGTACTCAGGTTAAACCGAGGGTTAGATCAACTAAAGAAATTCAATGTGAGATTCTTTTACATGATGCAAGGGGTAAGTCACTCAGCACATTGCGCCAAAATTAGATTCGGCACAGCCTGAGTACACCTTCAGCACACCTTCGGCAAAATCTCGTAGGCATTGGATTGTTGTAAATAAAAAGGGAGCACTGCTGAACCACTGCACAGAAAAAAATTCCGAATATTAACTATCGCGTAAAATCTCCCTTCGTTTAATTTAGAGCTATACTTGGCATAAACAGCGAAATCGTTTACAAGCTTGCATACAATATTGCTAATTTATGTGATATTGCGCTTAAATTTACACGAAATATTGCGTAAATTTATGCCAAATTTAGCGTTAATTTTATGTGCGCTATATCTCGCAAAAATTAACATGAATTTTTCGAACGGTGTGTCATTGAAATTGTTGACAACATTACGTGCTGTTGGACTGTATATTCAGGAACATCCTCTAATTGAATATACCAGAGGAACTCAGACCAGCAGTTCACTTCTCGGTTCACTTATAAATTTAAATTCGAAACGTTGGTTTTAGAACGGGCTCAAGATAAGAGGCAGATAATTATTACCCATTATTACCCTTAATTCAAATAATGCTGCAACTCACACAAAACAAACTACAGAAGTCATATTCATCATCCTCTATATTCGGTCTCCAACAATGTTTCCCACTGGTTCCAACTGTTTCCGGCCACTGTTAGATCGTTGATTTTCGATTAAACCCTGCCACCAGCTAAAAAGAATAGGTTAAAATATTCGAGGGGGACGACTCTATCTACGATGCAGAAAAGATTGCGTTTTGCTGTGGCTAGCTGCGCGCACGCTGAGTAGATAGAAAGAAGATTGATGACGATTCTGAAGATTTCCTGCAAAAAGATGATGCGCGATGCAAGTAGATGCGACAAATGAACGAAGATTTTTCTCGAAGATTGATTCGCTAGAGTGAGATAGATGTGTCGCCCCCTCGAAAATATTAACTATTTTTTGAGCTAACAAACTTGTTACAGGACCTTACAGTATCAAAATAAACACTGCTACTAAGTTCGCTGCACTGGTCTTTTTTTTTAACAATTTGTACCGTTCAAAAAATTCTTGTAAATTTCTGCGAGATAAAGCGCACATAAAATTAACGCTAGAATTGGCATAAATTTACGCAATATTTCGTGTAAATTTAAGCGCAATATCGCATAAATTAGCAATATTGTATGCAAGCTTGTTAAAGATTTCGCTGTTTATGCCAAGTTTAGCTAAAAATTAAACGAAGGGAGATTTTACGCGATAGTTAAAATTCAGATTTTTTTTTTCTGTGTGTGTTGATTTTCTTTCCTGAAGTTCCATGAAGTTTATTGATGTCGGGGCTCCCAACTTGTTCAAAAATCACGATGAATCCAAAACAATCATTCAAACGACCCCACTGATTTCCCTTTCTTACAGATACGACAATCTCACCGACGTACTGGTGGACGATTCGATGCCAAAACCCGGTCAAAGCCTCGAAGACGAAGACGAGTACGACGAAGACGAGATTGACCGTGATATTCACGAGGGCAAGATCAGCACCCGAAACGGATCCATTTGACATCAGGATCACCAAAAGCCATTATCATCTGGCCGGGCAACAAACCCGAAGAAAACAATTCGCAAAAACATGAACCAAAGCTACGAGAAGCTGGACGAAGATTGCGATTGTGATGTTATCAAATAGGAACGACCGTCGATGGAGCTCGGACGCGATGAGAACTTCGTCGAGGAGACGGCTAGCTAGTAGGTGGTTGTGCGAGGCCACGTGCCACAGTTTTGCATACAAGAGTGATTGTAAATAAACGGAATCAAATACAATAATCGTTATACATTTACGCGATGTGGTTAATGATATGTAGTGGATGGTTTTCTTTCGTTGGTCTGTTTGATTGTATTAATCTCAAATTTTTATTTTTATTTTGAGACGCGATGGAGCTTGCGAGGATTCCATATTAATTCTAAGTTTTTTTTTTTTAATTGGAATCCCAACGAAAACTTTTTACTCGTTTTGGTATGGAATCCGCGCAGAAACAACTCAATCAGAAAAAAAGGCTTTTAGAGGCAACCACGTGTGCATGTATGTACTACTTAATTCCCAAGTTTTTTGGCATTGAAAAAGGAAGTTGCAAAACACCCAAACGTTGATCAAGTTGGACTTTATTATAAATATTACACAGTAAAGAAAGAAAAAAACTTTTTATACAGAATACCAACTATCACATGCTTCCACTCAATTGCGATGACTCTATCCGGACGGTGGGTGCTGAACGAATAGCTAGCCAACAGATCACTCCCATAAATCCCGCTCCAAACACAGCCAGCAGCTGTACCAAACACTGTACCATTCGTTCCATCACCTCCATCTTGCACTCCATCTTGAGTACCCGTTCGCGCAAATGTTCCATTTCGGTCGATTGTTTCTCGTTGAACTTTTTACTTTTCTCGGCAATTTTTTCAACCAATTCTTTGGAGGCAGCACTGTTGGCAGCAACCGTCTCGTTGCCATGGGATCCACTATTTCCCATAGCTGGTGCGATAGAAGGGGCAAGCTTTTTGCCCAAATTCCCCAGGAAGGTACGGTGGTAAATGAAGACGCTGTATTTTGTATTCTGATTTTCACACGACATAAATAGTCACCACACTGACAGACTCCGGTGGAAGCAACGAGTGGCCGAGAGCGATACGACGAAGTGTCATCTGAGGCTGATGGAAACCGCGCACAGCCATTACAAAATTGTTTGTCGTATAGCTATTTATCTATTGTAAGAGGCGCGCTTTTCTTAGCTCAGTCTGTACAGGTGCAGACATGGTGCAAAACCATGCTGATATGAGGGGGATGTCGATTCCCTATTAGAAAAAAAAAAATTGTTCAAGTTGAGGACAGGTGCATAGTTCCAGTTGGAACGTAATACTTGGCCAAATAGGATGAAAAAGCTATTATGAGAGAGGTGGTTGATATAGGTTGGTATGTGCCATCTCTATGAACGTGTAATTAATGTTAAATGAGTGTTTGTATATTTATTTATCAGCTACGAGTATCATTTGGAGGAGGTTCGTTAGGGAGTGAGTGTGAAAGGTGTAGGAAGAAGGAGATTCCTTATCTCACGTGCGATATGCTTGATAATTGTCTATACAATTCACACCTATTTAGGAAGTGAGTGGGGATTTCCCTAATCTTACAATGGAAGGTCAAGATACTCGAATAAAAAAAATGTTATGGTTAATTTGCTTAACGACTTGGTCGGGGTATCATCCAAACCATTTGTGGAATAGTTCCATCATTTGCCTTATCGTTCACTTATGGTATTTTTTATTATACTATGTTCAGATTACGAATTTGTTTGTATTTATGACGTTTTCTTGTTGTTAATTTGAATAACATCTTTGTAACATCCCAAGTAACCATCAAGCCCAGTAATGCAATAAGTGCAATATAATGCTGATATAAGGCAGAGAAATGCTTTTTAAATTCAAATGGATATATTTTTGGCTCAGGGCCTAATATATTTTTGGTATTGATTCAAATATATTATTCGGTTAACTCAAAGAAAAATATTTTTGAATCAACAAACCGGTTGTAGAGTCAATACTCTGTTTGTTGATTCTAAAAACCAGTTTGTTGATTCAAAAATATGTTTTGTTGAAAAAGTGATACAATATGTTTGATTCAATAACAAAATACATTAGGCCCTGAAACAAAAATCCATTTTTCTGCGTATATAAGGCAGATATAAAATTTAATTAACTATTAACTATTTACGGGCTTGGTCGTTAGCTGGGGATGTTACAACTCTGTAGTCTGAGCAAGGCATTAGGGTGGTGACTCCCGAGTTTTCGAACGGGATTATTTTTGTCAGATTCTGCATGCCAAAACATGACGAAATACGCGAAATACAGAATACCCAAGTCCTCCCAAGTCTAGACCCAAGTACTGTCGTGAATCGTTCGAGCACAGCACTCCAGCCGAACCAATCACACACTCGTACACTAAAACACAACCATTCACTTCAATATCCACACTCAAAAAAATCTACATGTTCCATTCATGCGTTTTCAAATATGAATTTCGCTAATTGCCAGTCACCATGATATCATGTGAATTTCATTCGCATTTCATGGGATCAATGCTCAAAAATCACATGTCCCACCTGTCGGTGAAATCAAAACAAATCACACCATAATTTCGTGTGTTCAGTTATTGAAATTCATGGGATCTTAGTAAGGATCTGCGCTACTGTTTGCTACTATCGCATTTAACGTGTATGGCACATGGATCTCATCAGTAGCAGGACGAGTGTCAAAAGAGTATGTTGCTGCTACAGTTATGACCCTTACGAGAGTTTACAGGTACCCCACAATATTAATTTCCGCTTTAATTTACTGACAATAATTACTTTTACCAGTAGCGATCAATTTGTCAGCCGGTGTGAAGAAGTTGGCCGGTTCTATCTGAAATACAACTTTATTTTTGGCTTCATAGATTTTCAGCCCTTTGGCTGGATCATCTTTAAAACAGAAAACTGATCAGGAATGGTAAGTAAATCCAATTTAATAACTGAGAATAACATCAAAAGCTGAAAAACTTTATATCTCCATAACTGTCTTTTACAGTATCCTTGGGTTCCTAGGTCCTGGTGTAATGACGTGATTGGAGAGAGCTGCAGTGTTTTTTTCTCTTCTTCTTCTTATTTTTTATGAATGAATAATGAAAAAAATAATCATTAAATGAAATGCATTGTTTTGATCGATTATTAAAAATACACGAGCCAGATATGTTCGAAAATATGCTTTTGAATGAAGGAAATTTGATGATTAAGTGTCAGACTGTCGATAACAAAATGTGAGACACTTGAAATCCAAGTGTATCACAATTGAACTTATAGTGTTCGGGAATAATTTATATTATAAGATTCACACATGAAATGGATGTGTTTAGCAATTTGCGCAAATCGAAGTGTGGAACACATAAGGGTAACGTGTGATTTTTTTTAAGTGTATTGTCACGTCGCAAAACGCTCTGGAACGCAGAGTTGCGTGGCTCAAAGTGGTGCTGATTCTAGTCACTATATTGAATATGGTGGCTATAATCCTCTCCAGCCGGGTTCGCATTGGTGCGATTTGCGTGTGTTAGTGAGATGAAATTTTGACGTAGGACTACGTCTGTGATTTCTATATGGGGGTACTCTTTGTGAAAACCGAAAATGGAACTTGTAACACAATTATGAAAGATTTTGAACGTTAATAACTCAGCAGCCCCTGGAACAATTTCAATTATTTTATCACCAATCGATCAGATATATTTCTACGCATCTGTTTAATTTAAGACTTTATCGGTTTTCAAAATTTTACTGTTGAAAATTGCACAAATGTGCAACTGTTGCTATGATAATTAAAATTATCACCGATTGCCTGCGAAAAGCGATTTCCCTAACACAGATTTCAAAGTTAAATTTCATCCGGTCTCACCAAACGGTGTTTATTCAATCACCGCGTGGTGAGTGGTGGTGTTCTCCAGTACCTACACAACGAAAGACTGCCTGCAAGCAGCGAGCTGCAGTCCACATGAGCATCCAAGAAGGAGGAAGAAGCCACACCGCTATTGATCGGAATCAGTAGCTCTTCGTGAGTTTCTGTGGGCCATCTATGTCAAGCGCGTCATACTAATGAGTATAAACCCCGCTCAAATTCCTATTCCTACACAAAACACAAGCTCCTGCTGCAGGTAACAAATAAGATTTATAATACAAGACCACGTAGTCCTACGTCACCATTGCGTACAACCCCATAGGGCTGTCCATTGTAGTTTTTTGTTAGCTGTGAGAATTTTTTTGTTTGCTGTAAGAACTGTCATTCTAAAGTAAAAATAAACAACATAACGAAAACAAACCCTACGCTTGCACGGTAACAGTCAAGTACCTTTTTGTGAGTAAATGTTAACACATTTTTGATAAAGGTGGTTTTACTCACTAATGAGTAAAGTATTTTAATAACAATGAGTTTCTGCTAAGAGCAACCGTACCAATGAGTAAATGAGGCACATTTACCAACTTCTACCATAACGCTACTTGCTATTCAGGTGGGGGAAATAGCAATCAACACCTTGGGAAGTAGTGAGTTCATAAATTTAGCAACCCGGTAGCAACGCATCAGACGGTTGCTATTTTGAATGAACGTCAAAAGTTTGTTTTGCCGGTGTGGAAAACGGTAACTTAAATTATGACTCTTATAGCAACGACCGGTGTGGAGAGGAGTGATTAAGCCAAAATGGAAACGCTGTGCGTAAGTAAAATAGTGCCGCAAATGGCAACGACTGGTACGGTTGCTCTAACAGTAGCTAACAGTTACTACTTAATTGGCAATTGGAATTACTCATTAATTAGTAGTGGCGTTTTTATTGACAATGGGTTCACTTTTAGTCATAAATGGATGTTTGATTCTTACCGTGCACATGACAGTATACGCTAGTGTGTGTAAAATTATGTTATCAGTGTAGTGTTCATGAGATCCTGCTTGGAGAACTCAATAGGGCTTATACTCGCATTCATCACGTTTTGACCGTTTTGACGTATAGAGATCTCCAAGCTCAATCTCACGAACACTAAAATCTAACTTCCATAAATAAAAATGAGAAGAAGAAGAACCAAAAAAGTATTGCGATATAACCACTACTTAAAAAGGTAGCGCGCGGTCTCACGCACACTTTTGTGCATCTGGAGAACTCTACACGAAACGAAAATCAAATATTTAATTCATGTGTTTCACTTATACATTTTTGCCAAAGCATCAGCCTTATACATTCCATAAGACAAACCACATAGGTCCTATTAGAATGCTTAAAAGGTATGTGTGACCGCTTATACATTTCATTTGACACATGATCTTTATTAACTTTTTGCAAGGCGTCTGCTTATTAGTTGACTTAGGGCTTTTGATCTAATTTCCGTCCTACTAAGCACAACCCGCGCTTTACCTTTCGTTTCTGAACGAGTTTGAACGAAAAATATAATATTTTTGTCAAAGATGACTTCTAAATTTATTCACCTTTCCATACGTACCGTTGGATTTGATAAAGAGTCACAAATTGTTGAGATATTGTTTAAAATCTAATACTGCTTCTTGATTCTAAATTCGTTCTACGAGTTTCAATTCCGTCCTAACGCATTGAAACGCCATTAGATTTTCTTCGTCCTACGGATAAACGTAGAAGAAGGGGTTTCGCTAGGAGCGCTTCTTTTGTTTTGAGAACAATGAGCGTAAATATTCATACAATGCGCTCTAACAGGGTTTACGTTGTAGCTAATGAACTAACGCATCGGAACAAACCTTTTATTGATTTGTGCATGGTGAAATCATTGATATTATTGATCTTTTCTGATCGATAGAACGGAAATGGGCGATTACGACGAAGTAGTGCTCTACCCTATACAATTTATGAATAATCAGCAATGGAAATTTGCCAAAAGGTATAAGGAGATTTCTATCCGTGTATAGGACTACGTCTTTGATTTCAGAGGTTTTCACGTCTGGTTGTATTGGTAGGATATATGAGAGCGTGTTAGCAACAATCAATACGAAACTAACGATTTTAAATTGGCTCACTACTTGACTAGCCTACACTGTATCAAACCACCGTCCTTTGTTCGAATGAAACCTCAGACCATTCAAATCGAAACATCGAAATCGCCTTTTCGAATGATAGCTGCAACCGGATGACGGTTGTTTTGAAATCAGATGAGTTTCCTCTCGAATCCAGGATGAACATTGTTATGAGAAGAGATAAGACCTTCAGTTGGAATGCGTAATGCTTTCTGCAGAATGATAGTCATCTTAAATTGAAATGCATTTGGTATTGGTTCAGCCCCTTAACGCAAATCATTCAAAACGATGATGTAAATAATTCTATTGAACGTCATTTGCTGCTTTGAGCAGACAAACGAGGTGAAAGCATAGCCATCGCATCGGTGGTACGAACTACGAACATTTTTAAAGCGTGGAAACCGTAGTTTATCTATTTCGTGGCGGAGGAAGTTTCCTCGACCAAAATATTATTTTTGTATCCATTATGATTGGCTGATGTTCATGGCTGTTCAATATGGAAATGTAAACAATAGAATTAATAATCTAATTTCCAAAGCATTTGTAATTGTAAATCATCTTATCCTTAAATGGTTGTCCTTTGAGCCCTGTATGTTTTACAGCCAATTTTCAAATAAATATCATCCTTTATTTGGAGGACAGTCATATGAATGCTCATCAGTTGATGACGAATTCAACCATAAGGAAATCCTCCGAAATTCGACAGCATACCCGAAAAAAAATAACAACAAAAATACATTAAAAAACAATGTAACAATAAGACGAAAATTATTGTCTTAACAATGATTTATATTGTTACGTCTACAATAAATTTACCTTGATTTATGTTGTACAAAACAATAAATTTCATGGTAAATGGAAAATTTACAATAAAAAAGGGGGGTTGTTAAGTATCTTAACAATGAAATTTTCGTGATTTTCCCATATAATTTTTTTTCAATAACATTATATATTATTGTTATTTTACTGTTGGTTGGCGAATTTATTGATTAAAAAAAAATAACAGTGTACTTTAGAGTGTATGTGTTGGCTTGACAGATCTACTTTATCGACTTTAAAAATAAATCGAAAAAATAAAACTTTGCCCCGGGAAGGGAAGGGGGGGGTGGTATGTCTGTTACGGGTGGTCCTTTTTTTTACTGGTTATGGATCGAGATTCGATCCGGAACTTGTGAGAAATACAGGCCATCTCCCCTGCGCTCGATATCCCTAGGTCACGTCTCCTTGGTGGTTGAGCGTCGTTGATAAGTTAATGCATTCGACTGGAGAGAATCATCCCATGAAATATGCTTCCACCTGAGAGTTCCTTCCTGACATCTTCAAGTGGTGGAATTTTTTATTATTATTGTATGATAATTGACTGCACGGAAAAGGTCTCCATTAAGCTTTAGAGAGGGCCTAGGATAAGATATGAGCGGACGCGGACTGCCTGGTTTTGAGCCAAACGAACTGTCAAAGCCAGAGCCATACGAGCAGCGCCTATCTTAATTACATTGGCAGTGTTGCTGACCCTCTCATAGTCTGCATGCTTCAATCAGATTTATTTTTATTGTTCGTGAAGTAACCCACAATGAAAATACACCAATATTTAATGTAACAACAATTTTTATTGTAATAGAGTTGTTCATTATTGTTCATGATCGAATAATGTTAACAATAAAATAAATGAAAAATACGATAAAAACCATTGTAACAACATTTTATTATGTACATTCATTGTACAGCTAGGTAGCAGTTTTGCCGTTTTCGGAAGAGTACAACATTATAGCAATCATTTTTATTGTCGACAATAAATATTAATGTTAGAGCATTGTTTCCACTGAAAATTTCACTGTATTTTTTTTTTCGGGTATTGTTAAAGGGCTCGAGCAATACAATAATCAGTCGAAGTATTGCGGATGTTTTCGTTCAGTGTATTGGTCCCAAGCAAACGATTAACGTATCCCATTCTAGTCGAAATTCTAGTACTACGCAATGTTTGTTTTGATTCGCTATGAAAGTTTGACAGATAAAATGAGGGGTTATTGGTTTTTCCTATGTTTCGAGGGGTGAATCGATTAGCTTGGGACCGAAGAGAGTACCAGAGCTGAGCCAAAAAGTTGAGCACACAGAAATTCAAAACAACCCAAAATTAAGTTCTTTTCACTCATCTCCCATGTTCCGTACGATAAGCCAAATTTGGGTAAACCGGCTCAAAGTAGTTTGCATTTAAGCACGGCAAAAAAAATTACCCATCGCTAAGTTATTTTCAATTTTTTCTACCCAAAATTAAGTTCAATTAACTCAAATTTGGGTATATCGCATATTACTCAATTTTGGCTTCTTGTACGGAACTAGACGGTTGAGTCGAATCTTTCGTTCTATTTTTGACAACAATAGCGAGAGGAAATGAAACGGACAGAGGTCAAATAACTCAAATTTGAGTTTAAAAAACCCAAGCGGTGGGTAGTTTTGTTTTTCTGTGCACGTTATTTCGGGACCTTCTAGTCTTATGGCGGTAAGCTCCAATCGGTATTATCCTCGGATTAAATCCCGATCAAGAATGTCCGGCTGCTTTGATGTCGACATCAGAGTTATTCAACACGATGCTATGCAAACACTTCGCAGATAATCCAAACAGGGACGGTATTAAAAGTTAATCCGAGTTGGAGCTTACCGCCATTAGAGTTACCTCTATGGTGTTAGTGAATATCCGAGGAAAATACATAACAAATCGATGTCAAACTCATTTTGACAGATCTACACGGCGAATGAGAACGACTCAAATATTTGAGTTTAGTTCACTCATAATCGCCAAAAGTGCAGGAACTCAGCGATGAGTTAATTTGCCTCATGTTTTCCCAAGTTTTTTCAGGATTTTCCAGGGAAAAATTCCCGAATTTGAGAAAAGTAAAGATTGGATTCACTCAGTCTACCGAGACTTAATAAAATTTTTGTCAATTTCCTCATTTTCCGGCATATTTTTTAGGTTTTCCACAGGAAACCATGAGACAAATTTAACTCATCGCTGCGTTCCTGCACTTTTGGCGATTATGAGTGAACTAAACTTAATTTCGAGTCGTTCTCATTCGCCGTGTACTTTCATACATTTTTTTAGGTTAGCCAGGAGGAAAATAATAAACAACTTTACACGGCCTTGCTCCCGCTAGTGTGCGTGCGTTAAACGTCACTAATCTCTATATGGGGTGAAAACCGAGATGAAAACCGAAAATGAAACATGTAACAAATTAAGAAAGATTTTGAACGTTAACTCAGCTGCCCCTGGTCCAATTTCAATAATTTTATCACCAATCGATCAGAAATATGGCTACGCACGATAATAATGCTTCCGAATGTTGATTATTAACAAGAAACTATTGAAAAACTGGTAAATGTTCAGCATTGTCCAAAAGCGTCGAATTAACTAACAAATCCACCAATTACCTACATGCATATGCTGCTTCCCCAGCACAGTCTTCAGAGAGAAGTAAGTAGACGAAACAAGTTGAAGTGGCATTCGCCTCCGATCCTCGGGCGCGTGTGAATACGGAGTTTGGAATTGCGTAATATTTTGCACACTCATCGCCATATTCAGAACCAAACGCAAATTCTTCGAGATAACCACCGTCGTCTGTAAGTAAAGATTGGCTTCACTCAGTCTATTGGTACTACTCCGAGACTGAAGGTGTTCCTGGAAAATGAGGTCCGTGATGCTGTCACTTACACTAAACACGCCAAGCGTACACACTTAGATTTTTTTGCCGAGATGGGCACCATCGAGCAGCTCGGCATTTTATTTTGCTGGAAATTCAGCAAAAAATATGTTTGTTAGCTGAGATCTCGGCAAAATTCCCGTTTGTTAGCTGAATCTCTGAATCTCGGGAAGTTTTTCACTGAGATCCAGCAAAATAAAATGCCGAGCTGCTCGGTAAGTGGCCATGGATGTCCTCTTCAATAAAACGGCCCTTTTCAGGGCCATCAAGCTTACATCAGTAAAGAAATGGAATAGAATTTATCTGTGCTTGTTTGTCCATATTCAGAACCACAAACCCCCAACGACCACACAAAATGCTCTCCAGACTTGTAATCTTGTAACCAAACTTGGAAGCAGGGGTGCAAGTGATTTTGATTGATTCTCTTAATCAACTTTCTCTTTGAAAAAAAATTACTACAAATTTGGTACGCCTACAATTCAAAAACAGAAAGAGTTGAGATAATAGATAATTGATCAATTAAAAGAACTAAATGCTCTTCACATTTATTCCGTTCACTAGCGGTCCTACGTCAAGCTTCCGTTCGTGCCCCTAGGCACAGACCCTTCTACTTTTTCATTTGGTTTACAACACCTGCTTTAAGCAACCTGAGAGGAGGCGGTGGATCGATCGTCGCACATGAAACGTTAGTTACTTACTTCTACTTCAGCTGCATGCTCTATTTCGTTGCTCCGGTTACTTCAGCCTTATGCCTTATGATGAAATATGCCTTTTGGGCAGTTTGCATTATAATAAATTCAGATATGATATCAAACGTGCAGGACTGAGCTTTTAACTTGCTGTGTATGAGATTATCATGTACAAATAAATGCCTTTTGCGGCGCTGTGTAGCGTAAAATTTATTTACCGCAAAATGAGCATAAGAACGCAAATCCAGCTTCCAAACAAACTTGCACGGCCACAATCGACCATTACTTAGGACATTTCATCACTACATATCGATAGCACGTACGAGTTTTCATCTGTATCATCCAAACAATAAAGACAATTCGCCAGTTCGACAGGCGTACGACCTATCGTAATAGTAGAATATTATTTTCCCGAGCTAATGTTAATCCAAGGCTAGTGAATGTCTTTCCGTAAAACAGCAGAATTATTCCAAATTTGAAACGCTAAATTAGTACTATTTAAAAACATGCAAAATGCTTTTCCACGCAAACCTTTCCTACAATTCTTGCCAGTCCTAAGTCAGTCAAACTTCGCCGAAGTTGACGTGTCCGGTTTTCTTCGCGTGCTGCTGCGCTTCCACCTGTCCCTTCAGCAAGCAGTCGCAATCGATGCACTTGAGAGTGAACCGATTGACGTCGGTGAACTGGCGCGACGATTTGGCTTCATTGGCTAGCTGTTCGGCCTGTACGTATACGCCGTTGTCCTCAATCGGGAAGATCGTCTTCGGAGGTTCACCCTGGAAAGTTAAATCGATATCATAGAATTGTTGCAAGAGGAAATAATCGTAAAAGAATACCCACCGATGTCGATTCCAGGAACAGCGGATCGTAATGAATCCCATCAAACAGCAGGAACGCTCTCATGCCATAATTCTTGTCCTCTCCAAAGCGGTTGATGATGGCATTGGTAATGTCCACAACGTCAAACTCGATCCCATGATAGGCGGAAAGAATCGAAACCTCAATCGCTCCACCCCAGGACTCCGGTTGCAAAATCCAGGCACAGTACTCGTCGTTCGGTCGGCCTAGGATGCCCTCGTTGTACTCCCGCTTGTCCGCATTGACCGTGGAAGCAATGATCTGGCGCATGTACTGGCTGTTATCCGGATCCACCTTCCCCGTGAGCACATACCCTGAAAAAGCAAAAAAAAACCATCATGAAACAAATCATAACATCCGAAAAATATCCCTCCTCACCGATGCTCGTAAACAGACACGAGTTATCACTGGGAACAACTTGCTTCAGCAGAATTCCATTGCTACCTTCGCCCTGGGCAGCCAACTCCATTGCCAACTTCTCGTCCTCCTCCATGCGCTTGATGGCAGCCTGCTGCTGGCGTTCCTCTTCGCTCAGCTGTTTCTCATCTACGATCAACGTGTCCCCGTTGCTGATGCCGATGGTCGATATTAAGTCGTCTTCCTTGCTAAAGTCCAACTGTTTAAACGGTGGGAAGCCCAACACTACATGTAGCACGTTCGCCGGAATTTTAGTCAGCTCGCTTATCTTCCCCTTCAGATTACGCACCGTAGTGCTTTGCTCCAGATTGCTGACGATGTGCTGCTGACCCGTTTTGGTTTTCAGCTTGAGCGAGAAGCCTGCCATCCTTGGGGGGTGTTTTCTAATACACTAACACGGATTGAGGTAATTGTATTTGAACACTTTGAGGTGCTACCAAGTAGCTGGAATTAATTTTAATCGGACAGGAATTTATTATTCCTTTCTTGCGCTAATTTTGGAGTTTTTGCTTTGTTTTGTTGGGATTGTGAGCCAGATGCACACACAGAAGCCAACGAAAAGTTAAAAATAATCATCGATGACATTTGACGACCTTGCGATGTTTTTTTTTTGGCTTTTGTTTTCACCGGGATTGGATACTTTGATCGAATTTTTTTTATTTATTTTTCGACGCGTTTAAAATATAGTCGCTATATTCATAGTCTGGCGGATAGAATATCGGGAACCAATTGGCAAATCAAAGTTAGCACTCGTGGAGAATAGAAGAACTATGAAAGTGATGATGGTTTCAAAATTTTCCACGGGGAGGTATACGAGTGCAATGTTAAAATGCTTTTATTTTGCAAATGGAGCATTTTATTTAAGTTTGTTTGCTGCTACAGTTGTAGAAAAGCTGAAATCTATGTATGTATACACCTAAAAATCTGAAAAGAAATTATAATTTTAATATTATATGTCTATTGAGTAGTCCTCCAGTTTTCTACTAACGCAGCACTAGTTCGTCTATTCTCCACGAGTGCCAACTTTGATTTGCCAACCAATCGATTAAATCACGACCAACAACAGAAAAGAGCACATCAGCTGTTGCGAACAAAATTACGGAAACTGTTTTCTCGTGGCTTACCTACACAAACTAAAGGCCCAAACGCAATGTGGACGGAAGCGGAACGGACACGTGAAGTTTGACAGTTGTCACAAATGACATCAAGATGCCTAACCGAAGTCGATTTGGATCCAACAAGTTTTCAACCCGACAAGTTGGCTCACTCAGATCGGGCTTTTCCGCTGCCGTTGCCGTTTCGCTTCCGCTGTCATTGCGCTTGGGCCTTAACACCATCTTTAGGTTGTGGAAAGTTACCCCTATCCGATGATGCTGGTAATTTATCTTCTATTGGCGATGAAAGAATAATCAACAGTTGATAGTACATACCTTTGGCTAAGATACACATTTTTCGCGAACACGGTGCCAGATGTCAGTTTTGTGCTTTGATCAGAAATGTCACGGTAATTTGTAAGGTCATTCATGTCGGTTTGTCGGTGGCAGTATGTCGGTTTGTCGGTGATTGAAGTTCGAATTTTCTTATAATTGTTTGAATATTGGTACTGATGGGTAAATTTGTAAATGTACACGTGAATATTGACCATACATCTTAGCAATTTATTCTATTGCAGCAGCAGCGCTTCTGAACATTCCTATCGATTCAGACAAAGGCTGCTCCGTACGGATATTGGCCCTGAGATGATGATGATGGTCCCACTTCTAACCCCTATGCGCTGCCACAGGTAGACATTTTTTCCTTCAACCAAAATTGATTTTCAACGTGCCCTTCTCGGTGCCCTTATTTACATTCAGTCAACATCATGTACGGCCGAGTCTGGAAGCTACAGCGATCGGAACCTCGATCGGAACCGCCGGTGGAAACTCCGATTATCGAATCACCAGCTCGATCACCAGCTCTTGAGTCAGCATCAACTATATTATCGTGCTGGAGTCGAAAAACGTCAAACCACTCATCAGGAATATCAAAAGGCAAGCTATGTTCATGGAATGGAACAACATACTTGCAGCTTAGGTCTGGCTTGCTGAAGCGGGTTTCCTTTTCATTTGATCTTTCCCACACGGGAACGGACGAAGAGTACCAAAAGCCTCGCCAAAAGCCGGCTGATTTGTGTCGTCATTGGAAGAAACTGTTCGCAACGATACTGTTGACCTGTTGACGATATACACAAAGAACCGATTACCTGGAAAACACGTTTAAAATAAACATATTTATTTTTGGTTACAAAGTTGACAGCAAACAAAAGATTGTATGTTTATTTTGAACATTAATATATTTGAAATAAACGTAACATTATATTTATTTAAAACATTGGTTTACATTACTTTTAACATGGAATACGTTTGAAATCAACCTTATTTATTTTTGTGGCCAGAACAAACTGAGATTACGTTTAAATTTACCTCAAATATGTTTGTTTCGATGATAGATTTCTCTGCATGTAGGCGGAGAAAACAAAATACAATTCGACAGCAGGGATTTGTTCCTAAATTATCTTGCAACCCTTGCTAGAAGCTAGCATTTCGGATGACTTTTATTTTTGATTCGATTTACGTGCAAAATAATAATTGATTGCATCGCAATATTTGCTCATTTCTTGGGGCCATTCATTAACCAACGAAGATCAATTAATCAATAGAGTTAGAATATTGTTTTTAGTTCCTAAAACTAGTTGAATTTGAGAAGCACACAAAACATAAAGGTGATTGAATTTCTGTTCGATTGCAATACTCTCAAATTTATTCTAGTAAGAATAAGAAATCATCGGAAAACTCTAATTGGAATGTTCGATTGGCTCAGATTTTGACAGTTCATTTGGCTCAAAATATTCTCTCCCTCTGAGTATTTCTAGTGTGCATTGCTTTTGTGCACAGAGTGACATGAAGAAGAAAAGTGATATTTAGTTATTGTCAAGGGGTGGTCACTGTACACACTTGTTTTGCGCCAACTTTTTTCTCAGTGTACCTCAGTGTGCCGCAGTTGTACCAACAATCAATACGAAATTAACGATTTTAAATTGGCTCACTACTTGACTAGCCTATTGGTCCCAAGCAAACGATTAACGTACTCCATTCTAGTCGAAATTCTAGTACTACGCAATGTTTGTTTTGATTCGCTATGAAAGTTTGACAGATAAAATGAGGGGTTATTGGTTTTTCCTATGTTTCGAGGGGTGAATCGATTAGCTTGGGACCGAAGATAGTACCAGAGCTGAGCCAAAAAGTTGAGCACGTTATTTCGGGACCTTCTAGTCTTAGAGTTACCTCTATGGTTGTACCGGCAGTGTCAAGAAGTCATTGAACTGACTTTTGATTGCTTGTGAATAATGCCTTGTTTGGCAACGTGGTATTTTAACAGCTTTTATTTATGTTTTGTTTTTCAATGTTTTCAAAAACGACACGGACTCCAGTTGAGACTACACACTGGATGCATCCGTCTCCAAGGATGCCTGCAACGGACGAGCTCCGTTGCTACACGATCCTTCCATCTTTGGCGGAAGGCCGACCCCGCACAACGAACGTCAATAATTAGTCAACCAACCCTTCTGGGAGCCGGCGGAGGAAATGGATTTGCACCAAATTTTTCAGAGTCCAGGTTGGTACACCCTGCAGGACAATTCGATCAGCTTCAAGGTCTACAGCGCCTCCAAGAATAATCGCTTCCCAGGCCAGCAATAATCGCATTCTCCACTTCTTCAATAACCCACCCGTACACAGCAAAAAAAAAATGTAATATCGATCAACGTAATTCCAGCTGATGTATGAAATAATGATGTAATAGCAAAAAGCAGATACAATATTACATCAATGGATGTAATTTTGTTCGCAAAATCGATGTACATCGTACAATGTGATATTGCACAACCGATAGATTGACCTGGTTGCAGCAGTTTCGATGTAATATTCAACAACTTTTTTTTTGCTGTGTATGCCGTCCGAGGATCTGCTGCTGACTGCATTCACCACCAAGGGCTGCCACCCGTCGCAAGTGCGAATGTTCCCGCTGAAATCGGGAAGTTCCTCCTCCGGATTGGTCGAGTTCCCGAGCGTAGCCCTGGCGGTGAACGTCATCATGAAGTGCAACCACAGCGCGATGATCACAAATGCACAAAACTCCCGTTCATTATGAAGCTGTGCTTCTCCTCCTCCAAGAAGATGAACGGTGCGTGGAGCAACGAGAACACCGAAAACACGTAAGCTGTGAAAGAGTTGAAGCTTATTTTCTGAGAAAAGAAAGTATTTTCCTTTTTCTGGGTAGTTAATGTTATGATTCGTAATTATAATTTCTTATTGTGTTAGTTGGAAGCGAGGTTGAAAGTGCAAAAAGGAACGAGAGTAAAAATTTGTTGAACTATTTGAGATTTTGCCAAGACGGTCCTCCAATATTATATGTTGGACGATGGAATGGTTGATGTAGCAGCCACCGCCATGGATGTATTCGAGCAGTTCGAATGGTCGGATAGTATAGATTTTGTTTGTTTGTTGACTTTCCGATTAAAACTCAAGCACCGCTTGTCGTGACCGGCCCAAGATTTCCAGCGTCGACCACGGCTACACAAATTAGCGATGCAGCTCCCACGGCTGCGGCTGATTCCAATGCTGCTGCTGCTTTAGTTGCTGCACACAAAAAATAATCACTACTAAAATTAAAAAAATCATTGGTAGAATTAAAAGTTTTCGTTGGTTCTTTTTGGTAGAAAGTCTGAAGCATTCAAAATAAAAATGTGTAACTTGTCAAATCAAAAGTTTAGCTCTTCGTTAATTTTAAAAGTTGATGCTTTTGAATCAAATTGTAGAACTGTCAAAAGGAAAACCAATGCTTTCAAAATGAAGTGCAAACTGTTTCAGTTCGAAAAGAGTTGTTTTTATTATGACAATATATTTGTTATATTAAATTTTAAATATTATCATATTAATGATTTTCAAGATTAAGAAAAGTAGCCAAACTAATGTTTGTATCATATTTAAAACATAAATTTATTCATTTATTTAATAAAAAAAAACAAAGAAAATAAAACATAGTTTATGTTACCAGCGCAGATTGTGTCCTAGCCCTATTAGGCTAAGGAAGGCTAATCCTACTGTTCATCGTCCTGAGTCTTCTAAGTGGCATGGGTTGAGTCAGATTCTTGTCCGTCTTGTAATGGTCAAAGTATTGAGTCGAACCTAAGCTCCACGTTCATTTCGAAGCATTCCAACGACATACAATACAATATAGTGGGGGTTCACCAACACCAAAACAGTGAGCTGGTGGATAATTCCCTGTACATCATTGTCTTGTACGTTCATATGTTCTACGCCCACGTACGTTTGGTGGTCACTTTCCGGAATGATGAGTTAGGTGCCATGTAACGGGGTTTGTTGTAAGGATAGTTTTTTCGGTCGAGACGCTTCACTCTGTTACGGGATTTGTTGGCCGGAACCATCCGATGTAAGCGCTTGTTTGTCAAGTAATAGCGTACCTACAATGTAAACATAAATGTAATCGATCCTAAGAAAAATAATTTTCCAACTCACCTACATGCCCTGTTGCAGCGGCTGAATCACAATCGATCACCGGAGGCAGCTTCCAAACACCGAATTAATCGAATTAACCCATTAAAAAAATGAAATTCCGTGGAACGATTTTATTTTCGTCGCGTCAATTCTACTTTGGCGGCAAATAATGTGAGGTCCAGTGCTGCCAAAAACGTTACTATGAAGAAGTATTTTTGACAGTTGAACAACTTTTATTTTAAAAAATACACTTTTAAAATTACAAGTCAGAAGTGAAAGAAAAACTTTCAAACCAAAGATATAGCTTTCATTTTGAAAATTTTCACTGTTAAAACTACGAAATTTGGGAAACTTTTATTTTGAATTTGCATTATTTTTATACCAACAATTTTTGTTTTTTGTGTGTGCTGCTGCTGCTGCTGCTTTAGCTACTGCTGCTGCTGTTCCTTCTGCTGGTCCGTCTCCTCTAAAATTCGTCAAAAAAGACGGACTAGCAGCAGCATTGGAAGCAGCCCCCGCCGTGGGAGCTGCATCGCTAGTTCGTGTAGCCATCGCCGGAAACCTCGGTTAGGTCAAGATACCGCTGTCAGCTGTTCTTCGTCTGGAAGGAAATGTGGATGCGACTGCCGTCACGGGTGTAATGATTTTGAAAATCCATGGCGAGACTTGGTGGAGATTCACGAATGTTTTGAAAATAATTTGACTAGGAGTGGCAACGTCAATAACAAATTTTGACGCATGCGCACTGCGCAGGCGCAGAAAAAGTTCAGTGTTGCCAGTAACTTTGAAAATCATAAAAATTGTAACCATGGGTGCCAAACAACGTCAATGATTGCACCCCGATGTGCCCCAGTTTGATTTTGGCACACTGTGTAGAGTGACCAACCCCTTGGTTATTGTATGTGGATTCGCGGGTGGAGGAATTGTTTGAAAATGACTAGAGAAAATTAAGCATCGGGAATGCGCTCCCGGATTTATTGATTTGGTGAGTACGTTCCAGTTGAGGATTGTTTTCTCGAAATAACCCATTTTTTGAATACATTTCATTAATCAAACATTATTATATGCTGGGTTTGGGGGGGGGGGGGGGGGGAGGGGCAGCCTAAGGGTTTCAAAGGATTTGTAGACTGGACAAGGGTTCGTGGGTTTGCCAGTACCTTGTCACGTGTTGATAGACGTACATCTTGTCTTCCAAAGGTCTTCAATGAAGTTGATTCACCCTGCTGCAACAAACCATCAGGCAGAACTTTACAACCAGTGAAGTATCTGCAGTCATAGGTCATCCTTGCACTGATGGTGGGTTCTATTCACATCACATCACATCACATCACAGCAATGCATTCGGTATAGGAAAAACGTCACGATAGGGGGGGGAGGGGGTAATTTTTTGCTCGATTAAGCGTGATTTCAATTCCAATTAATGCATGGGCCCTTATATTACACCACCAGCGGAATAACCTCTGTGCAGCTGTTTGGATGTGATATATCAGTGCTAACATTTGAAAACGGCACAAAAGCCATTTGTAAACAAATGGTTTGTGGGCCCTTTACTCACTACTTGAAGTACACCCACGCGACACAACAGCAACATCGGGTAGGGGAAATTGTCCCCTTCCTGACGATGCTGTTGGTTTGCGTGGGCGTTCTTCGGGTAGCGAGTAAAGGGCCCACAAACCATTTGTTTACAAATGGCTTTTGTGCCGTTTTCAAATGTTAGCACTGATATTATCCAACAACTTTTTTTCTGTGTACATCATTATTCTCAGTGTATGATCGCTCTCATCGGACGTAGCTATTACGATCACAATATTTTTCGAACTCATAATGCGAATCCCATGACTGACGGTCGGTCTGTCATACGAACTTGATCGTGCATCAGAGCGCTGTTTATTTACAATCGTTCTGTTCTCGCGTTATTCATACGGTGCACGATTAGACTCTGAACACTAAATATATTAATAAACTAGCTTCACAATGTCCAAGGAAACCGAAGCTCCACGGGCGGACAAAGAGTTGGACCTCTCAAATGCCGGACGTGGAGTTTGGTTGGTCAAAGTTCCCAAATACATTGCCAACAAGTGGGAGAAAGCTCCCAGCAACATCGAGGTCGGTAAGCTGAAGATATCCAAACAGGTCGGTCAGAAGGCACAAGTGTCGCTGACCCTGTCGGATGCCGTGATCAGCATCGATACGGGCGAGGACATTCCTCGGGAACACAAACTGGACGTTTCGGTGGTGACGAAGCAAACGTTGGGAGTGTTTTCGCACAGCGTTCCAACGACGAGTCGGGAGGATGCGGCACCGGAAGGCGAAAAGCTATTCATGGAGGGACGCATCGTCCAGCGGCTAGAGTGCCGCCCACTGGGGGACAATGCCTACATGAAGATGAAGCTGGAATCGATCCGAAAGGCTTCGCAACCGACCCGGCAGGTGAAATCGTTGGAGAAGATTGTTCACAACTTCAAACCCGTCTCGGACCACAAGCACAACATCGAGGACAAGGAACGGAAGAAAGCCGAAGGCAAGAAGTCTCGCGACGACAAGAATGCCGTGCTGGATATGCTGTTCAATGCGTTCGAAAAGCACCAGTACTACAACATTAAGGATCTGGTTAAGATAACCCGGCAACCGATTAGCTATCTGAAGGAGATTCTGAAGGAAGTTTGCGATTACAATATGAAAAACCCGCACAAGAACATGTGGGAACTGAAGAAGGAGTACCGCCACTACAAAGACGACGAAAAGAAGGAGGAAAACAAGGGTATGTCCGATAGTGACAGCGACTGACAGTAGTAAGGACGCTGGAGGGTGAGCTGTTTCTTTTTTATTATTATTATAGCAGGGTAATCTTAATGTAATATGTAAAAATGTCAATGTTACGGCTAGCATCGAAAGGAAATACATTTAATTTTGACAATTTGAAAAGGGAGATTGGGGTTGCTTTGAATCCGAAATTATCCGGGACGTTTCGGATGAATCCAGTATCATCAACTATAACTGTTTCAAAAGCACTTGTTAACTGCGGATTTCGTATAAAATAAATGTCCTTACCTGCTACTGCACAGCCCATTTCGTCGCTGATTTCCTTTTTTTCGATTATCAGTCAATCTTGAATACGTTCTCCGTCAGTCTCACCACCAACGGATCTAGCACGTTTGAGTGCAACTCCGTCCGCCACAAATCTTTCAAAATTCCCTCAGCGATTGATGTTGGACTTCGTTGCGATTGATTGAGTTGCTGGGAAATGTCTATTGTGAAGAAAATAGCCGCTTTCCGAACCAGTGGCTCGTACGAATCGCATATGGTGAAAAATATCTGGGCCGCATTTGGCGGAACCTGGTCCAGATCGCGTACAACCAGAACCCCCTGTGATTTTAACTCTTCACGGTGCCGCTCCAGAACTACTCCATAATCTTGGGTTATTGCGGCTGATTTGAAATCGTTACTCGTACGCCAGATGGCATCTTCATTGCCGAAGCATTCGGTGGTGATGTGAATGACGTCTTTCAGCAGAGATTGGCCAACCGAGGAGAAATTATACAGGAAGATGAAGGTGGCTGGCTCGCCGGGATCATTTACAGCCCTTTCGACACCGACGATCAGGCCGGCCCAAAGCGTGTTGTCCGTGTTCGGGTACTTGGACTGCAGTTGTATGAAATTTTTGCAACTCTGACGAACAGTGGTTTCCTTACTAGGAACAACACGGACTATCCAAATGGCTATGATTATCACCAACACGGCAAAGACCATTGCGAGTACCCAACTTTTACTAATGGCGTATTTAGGAGGTTGTTTTGTTTCTCCCGGGGCGGATGTCTGTGAATCTTTTTGACGGTCCGTTTCCCGTTCAACGGAATGTCTGAACTGCTGATTTTTATCACCATCTTCAAAGGATTCCGGATCATTATCGGGATCGTAATCGTTTTCTTCCGTTTCTTCGTCCTCAATTCTTGGTGAATTTTCTCCCGTATCGTTGAACGATTTGTCCTTCTTGTCGACATTGGGGATTCTGGAATTGGGGGATATTTACATTAGAAGAACCCTACATATGTGTCATCAGTTAAAAAATACTTTGCAGGACTGATCAGAACCGTGGCGGTACTGGTATCCGGTTTGCTGGTGGACGCCTTTCCATGAAGAGGATTTCTCGAAGGTCCTCGGGGAAGAAGCAATTTCTATTAAAAATTACAACATTTTAAGAATCGGATACGAAAATTCACGAAAACTAAAATTACCGTGGAGGGTGAAGTTTCCTTTGCTTCAGAATCCATGAGTACCATGAAAAATAAGATCCAAAAACTAAAACTTCTGTTGATCAAATTTCTCACAACCCAAATTATAAACAAACGGAGCAAATCGCAGTGTTGCACCTTTTTGTTTTTGCCGTTTTTGCTGACTGAGAATCGCAAAAGACAGTGGGCGATGGGGTGTAGCGTAACTTTTCAAAAGAACCTAAGTAACAAATGTAAACAAATCGAGTTAATCGATACAAACTATTGCTCTTCTATCATTGTATATGATACAAAAACATCCATCCAAATTTAATTTCATTTACTTAAGATAATCATAGGTCAAACATTGTCCAATGAACAGTTTGAAATGATGGGTAAGTGACTGGCACTTCGGACATTTGGATTGCCTAACATGATTGGTGCTCATTTCCTAAAGGCGGGCATGAATAGGTTAGGTACTGTATTCTGAAATCTGTGAAAGGGAATCTAGTATCATGCAAAACCACAGACAAATAGACAACAGAACACATTGACTATTTCTCAATGTAAACATTTCCGCCATCTGTTGAGTACACTGTGGTGGGCACTACACTGAGCAGATGGCGGTAGTGTGTAAACGTCAAACGCAAGGGAATTGACTATGCTCGCCACAGGTGGCGGTACTACGAACTACGATACTTTTAAATTGTCCGTTAAATGCTTGTTCGATGAACAACTTGCGAGTGTTATGTCTGTTTGTCTGTGACAAAACGTTTAATGTAACATTCATTGATTATGTCATTGAGAAAAATCCTCGGAAAAATCATCCAATGTAACATGGCCGAAGTACAACTTAGTAAGTCAAAACGTCCTATGTGTTTTTTTTCTTCTATATTGAAGCATGAAATTCAAAGTAAAAAACAATTGTGTTTTTACCGTTTATACTGAATTTTCAACGTTATTATTCCCTGACTACAGTAAAAATAGTATTGCAAATTTTTTTGTTTCTAAACAGTTAAAATAATAATCTGTCGAACTTCAACTTCAATTTTCTCATAAATGGTGGATATGTTACATTGGTCTATTTGAAAAATGACGCGAGAAATTTGATCTAAAACTCACATTGACGTGCGATGTTTTTTTTTTCGTCTTCTACGACCGATTCCTACTTGACAGACCAACTCACATGCGATCTGTCAATCTCCGAAAATAGTATCGAATATTTTTGTACAAGTAGTGAACTTGAGATTTTAATTAATCAGCTAAATTTATTTCTGGACCCAGGTATTTACAATGAAATATTGCCAATCATTCCATTCTTTCTACTGACATTCTCACGTGCTTTCAAAATCTGCTGTTATTTCGAAGGGAAGACACTAATGCTTTTGAAGCATTTTCTCAATCAAAATCAGATGTTTCACGGCCGATGAGATCGACTCAAAGCTGAGTGGTTTTTCACTCAAAATCGCAAAACCGTGCACTGAAAAAAGTTTTCTTATAGTTTCTATTCACGGTAACCGCAAAATACCCAATAATGACTACAAAGTAAGCATTTTCGAGGGAGACTGGGACTACCCATTAAATGAGTAAACATATTACCCATTTATGAGTAATTTTTTTTTCAATAATATGTATTGATTTTTATCTGAAAAAAAGTTATTTTGTATGGAAAATCCGGTTCGAACGGAAACAAAAATATGGGTGATTATCTACATAACATAATATCAGGCGCAACATTTGAAAAAAAGCTTTTGTTGGCATAATTTGTAATGCCCTTTACATGTGAACCGAAGTACGCCCACACAAACCAATTCGACAGTGAGCATGCATAAGGGCCTATACGCGATGATCGATTCTCTTCGTCGATGTTCTCTTTCGTTAATAACTCGCTAGATTTAACGTTTATCGGTGCGTTTGCTGTTGCTTTTGATAGCCAATACAACATGTTACTACTCTGCATTGAACAAATTCAAGAAAATTGTTTCGCTTAGCTGTAGCAATGCAAAGAGAAAATCGATGAAGAGAATCGATCATCGCGTATTCGCCCTTATGCATGCTCACTGTCGAATTCACTATCAAAATGGGGAGAATTTCCCCTGTTGATTTGCGTGGGCGTACTTTGGTTCACATGTAAAGGGCCTTACAACTTGTGTTTACAAAAGCTTTTGTGCCGTTTTCAAATGTTACGTCGGATATATTCCAAGTTAGTTTTCATATAGATTTCATTGAACACATAAGATTCATGTGATCTAGTGGTGCAATTTATAATAATGGTTATGAAATCACATGAAAGTTATCTGCAATCCTCGTGGATCTATTTTATGAGTAAGTTTTTGCGAATTTGAGTGAACGGCCGTATGGTTAACCCTTTCATACCTAGATGCATCCAAAATAGACACCTCTATTATCCAACTCTTTTCAGATCAAAATGACCGCCACAGTGGACCCACGCCGACCGGAAAAAATCAATCGGTACAAACCGATTGACAGTGCCAACCAGGGGGCCGGCGTCGGAGACGATCTCATGCCGGACTACATGAATATCCTCGGTACTTACTCCCCTCCCGTTTCCGCATTGACAAACCCTGTTTACGTTACTGCTTTTTTTCAGGTATGATATTCTCCATGTGCGGTCTGATGATGAAGCTCAAGTGGTGCGCCTGGCTGGCACTGTACTGTTCCTGCATAAGCTTTGCCAATTCGCGCGTCAGTGACGACGCCAAACAGGTGCTGTCGTCATTTATGTTGAGTGTGAGTGCGGTCGTCATGTCCTACCTGCAGAATCCGACGCCGATGACACCGCCGTGGCAGTCGTTATGAGCGGGCTGGGCGCCGGCATTAAATTAAGCCAATTACGAATCTGTATCGGACGTCGTATGCACATCAACATTCACACACACAAGGATGTTACTGGAGTAAGATTTTTGAAAGTTTATAGGTTCATTGTTTTCGTGACTAAGTAACCAAATATAATTTAATTTTCCCATATCAAATACGATTACTTCCTGACGATTCCGAAGTCCAACTTTCTTAATCGCCCTCATTTCAATTTTCTAGCCAATCAGCCAAATGTTTTATAATCCACACTTGAACCACAGACAAACAGGCATAAAACATTGAATAATTCACACTGTGAAACATCGTCACTAAAACATTACCGCCATCTGTTGAGTACACTGTGGTGGGTAGTACGCTGAACAGATGGCGGTAGTGTGTAAACGTCAAACGCAAGGGAAATGACTATGAGCGCCACAGATGGAGGCACTACCAACTACGCTACTTTTAAATTGTCCGTTAAATGCTTGTTCGATGAACAACTTGCGAACGTTATGTCTGTTTGTCTGTGGTGCTGGCATCTCTTGATTTCCTCTATAAATTTTCCACTTTCGACCAATTTGGCGCTAGTACCGATACATTTTCTGTTGAAAATTGCCACTTGGCGCTACCAGCACTTAGTGTCTAGTGTAAATTGTGCAACGGCAGCGCCATCAGCTTGTCAAACAGGATTTTTAAGTGGGGAAGTCGCTGTTAGTGGCGCTTAAGTCAAATAGGAATCTTTACACTAGTTTTTAGAGAAATTTTGTTCGAGCCTCGCCTCAACGTCTGATGGTATCGGGGGCTTCCGGCCTGCAACCTCAGGCGAGTATGTTAGCGATTCCGAGCTTTCGGTACCTGATGTCCTTTCGATTTCTAGTTCCCGTGATTGCTCCTCGAATGGTCTCCGGATCTACTACCAAAACGTGCGTGGGCTGAGGACTAAAATCGACTCGTTTTTCCTGGCTGTTGTGGAGGCCGAATATGATTTGATTGTGCTGACGGAAACGTGGCTGGACGACCGAATTTACTCATCACAACTTTTCGGGTCACTATATTCCGTCTTCAGAACTGACCGGTCTGCTCTAAACAGTCAAAAATTGCGCGGTGGCGGAGTCCTGATTGCAGTATCTACTAGACTAGCCACAGACCCCCTTCACTCTTTGGAATTTATAGAGACAGATAATAGCGTCAAACGGTTTGTGACGAGACAACGTTGAACGTTGAACTGCTGCGTTGGAAGAAAACGTGCACACCAACATCTATACATGTACGAACCCACACAACTGAGCGGACGATACAGCGCAAATCAAAACACGAAGCGGTGCATCACTCATCGTCATCATTCAGCTTCGGCTACTCCCGTTTGCGTTTGTTTTCACCGGCGTTGTCAAATACTTCCTACGTTAGGAGAGTAATGTTTATTCTAACGTAATTTTTGCGTGCTGCGTTGGCCAAAGAAGACGGCATATTTTATTACGTTTAGCAATGATTTCGATACACTCAAAAAATATTAAAATCTAAATAGTATAAAAGCTACGCTAAATCACAACTCTCCTTGCCGACGCATAGCTTGGTATAAAGGGAAAGAATATGAACTTAGTATAAAAATGGTTTATGCGTGCCATAGTATGAAAAAGGAATATACTTGTTATGTATAAATGCGGTTTATTAAGGGAAATTAATATTTTTGGTTCTATTTTCATTTGTATATCAACATTAAACATAAAAATTATCAATACTATTTTATTAAAGACAAATTTATCATTTAATACAGCATAATCTTTAAAATGAACATTGATGCACCATATCTACTTAACATATAAATTAAGTAACTTGTTCATAAAATCCGGCAACGATTAAATTGATTCCCGGTTATTATGACCTGCACAATCCAATGCCTGATTGGCTTCACCGAGGACACTTCCGGTAAATTTGGTGACGATGGAACAACGGACATCATACCATTGATACTGCAACCAGCTCCGAGATAGTTGAAGTTGGTGTTCATCTTCTAGTGGTCGCTCGTGGATCGAAAACAGGCTCGATCGGTTTGGTTCCACTTCGCAAATTGAGCTGAGTTCGAACTTGGTGGTTTAAATGTTATATAAGACAGATTGACCCTCGATGTAAACCAGAAGAGATTTTTAGTGGTCCTTGACTATGCCATATGTGCTTCTTACACAATTCAATACTTCTGATGAGATCTCCTTTGTGGGGACAGTAAATTTCGTCTTGTTGTTTTTAAGTCAGCGTCTGTAAAATAAAGAATCTTTTGATTGAAAATTCATAATAGTGCATGTATGTATGTAGAGAGAGGTGTGTATGCTAACCACTACGCCGGGATCACCCCTATCTATCTCAGTCTAGAGATTTGTGTAGTAAACAGTTTACTTTAAGTAGAAACTTACCAGAGAAGATGATTTTTGCTTTGCATTTTGTTGCTGCTGAGCAGTACAATTTCTACTTCAGCGAACATTCCGATACCTGGGGGTAGCTCTGGCGCATGAAAAGTAGAGCGGTGATCTTCTCCAGGTTGTCACAAAGTTTTACCATCGTGAATTGCTTCCAGTTCAACTGCGAGATGGCTCGATTTACGGTCCTTATGTTTAGCTCAAGATAGAATTTCGAGTCCTGTTATGGATGACCTTGAAAGTTCACTGCCGTTCAGTAGAGGTGGGATAGTCGCTGCATCGTAGAAGATGATTATTGGCGATTGGAAGCAATTCTCGCGGGAACCTTTTATTCAACTTGATTCCTCTGGAACAGCGATATGGCCTTTTTCTGAGCAAACAGCAGGTGATTTTTACAATCTGTGGGCTGCCGGAAATTACGCGTGACACATCGTTACAGTGGCTAGAGGAAAAACAGATTCTCACAAAGTTTTGTTAATGTTAATGATGTGTGCAGTACTTATTGAATTTAATTTCCGTTCTCGATTAATTTCTATTTTCGATCAACTGTTTGACTGCAGTTTCTCCAGGAAGCACAGAAAATGAGATGGTCCGTCGTGACGTTTGAAATTGTACTTTTATTTGCATGGAAAACAAACTGCAGTTTGTTTATATACGTTGGTATACACTGAGCGAATTATAAGCTGTTATTCGGATTTAGTATAATTTCAAAGCGAATTTTAATCAGATCAACGTATAAATATGCAGTTACCAAAAATAGACTAAATTTTAATCTTCCTTTGATTAGTAATAATTTTGAGTGTACGTTGCATTTCCAGTAGCTGGCGTTGGAATAATTCTTTAGAGAAAGGGTTTCCTATGTTTACTTCTATGCTTATTAAGATTATGTTGAACAACAGCTCCGTAAATCATCAATTACTATTAGAGATTTGCATCTTACTGATACCGGTGATATATTGGAAACTTTTTCACTCGAAAGCAAAACATATTACAAGCACATCATGATGCGCGCTTGGATATGTGATTGTCTTCTCAAGTGTTTCTGTTGCGTATAAAGCGGTAATGATTGAAAATCGAAGCAATCACAAACAAGTAAGAATCTTGCTATCGCAATATAATGATGATGACTTCGAGGCAGTGCTGCGATTTGTCATTTTCATTGAGAAAACTTCAGTGGATATAGACAAAATTCATTTCAGCAGCAACACTGATAGAACTGAAAATCAAAATTTCCTTTGTCAAAATCTCACTCTTTTCTTTGTCAGTGACAAAGATTCCCTTGGTGAAAAAACTGTGAATTTGCGCATTCTGTGTCACATTATTGTTCTCCAGGCTGATAATGATGATGATTCGTATTCACTTTGATGGTTCTATGTAACTGTTTTGCTAAATTAATTTGATTTCGATAGTAATTCAGCAAATGAAAAAACTGCACATCGTCGTCACTGATAGTAATATCACTGACAATTGATATTGATTGCTACTGATGGTGACTCTCTGTTGAAATGAGTGACCAGGGTTGTTTTGTTATTATCAGTTTTTAGTGTCGAAATTTTGCAGCACTGCTTCGAGGATTAAATTCAGGCTCTTTAATATCGTCCTCTTCCCTCGGCTGATCATCAACGTCCGCGTTGACACCTGTCAGTTATTGAGCCCTGGTGGTAAAGTTGGCGAGGAACTCCCAACAGTTTCAATGTGCCATCAACAGATAGCACTGAGATCACATAAGGGTAATAACTATATGCCTTGTATGAGGAATTTTTTTTTTTTTTTCCTTTGGTTTGTTTTTTCCGTCGATCTTGTTTTCCGTGCTGAGCACCAATGCTACCGACGTGCCAGGAAGGCAGCTCCCACACCTGGACCCTACCTATCGACCCATCAACTCATGAACCGGGGACCAACGGCTTTACTTCCCATCCGAAGGAAGGCGTGATAAGAGATGTTATGCCTCAGAACATCCCGGCGGCGCCGACTGGGATTGAACCCAGGCCTGCTGGGGTGAGAGGTAATCACGCTTACCACTACACCACCGGCGCCGTTGTATGAGGAATTGATTAGTAGGATATCTTGTTAATTAGATATCTTTGCTAGCCAGCTACGTAAGTACGTCACCCATTTCCAGTCAACTGGAACAGCTGTGGATTGTCGTAGAACTTCCACAAAGCAAGCTTAGTGTAGGCGCAATCTACCTGCCTCCCGACCGCAAAAACAACTGCACGATCAAGCTGGTCTGCAGTGGCGCTTTACAGACAGTGGCACACCATTAATTGATCCACTGCTTTCGCATATGCCGGTTGCTTGCTGTGCTCTTTTGGACGGTTTTAACTTTTACGGGTTCACACAAGTGAATACTTTTCCGAACCGAAATGGACGTTTGCTAGATCTTGACCTGGCAAATGATTCCGCACTACCGGGCACTTCTGTTTCCTTGCCGGTCGAGCCACTGATTGATCTAGATGCCGATCATCCCGCTCTCGTCGTGTCATTTAGTTTACCTACGCCGATTCTTTTTCCGCCGTCATCTGAGTGCTACTCTTTGGACTTTCGCCGGGCCGATTATGTTGCATTGAACAATGCGCTTGCGGAAATTGATTGGCAATTTATCGAAACTGCCGCTAGCGTGAATGATGCAGTGGATTTTTTCAGTGCTGCACTGGAAGATGCTATTTTCCGCATGGTCCCAGCTCGACGACCTCCGCTAAAGCCTGCATGGTCTAACCCACGCCTACGCGTGCTAAAACGTCAACGCTCTGCCGCCCTCCGAAAGTATTGTAACTCTCGCTCGCCGTACTACAAACGACTGTTTAATTTTGCGAGTCGTAGTTATCGAAACTACAATCGTTTTCTCTATAATCGACACGTGAGACGCACGGAAGCGAACCTTCGCACGAATCCGAAAAGTTTTTGGTCGTTTGTCAACTCCAAACAGAAGGAATCCGGGTTGCCTTGTTCCATGTTTCTCGGGAATGACTCGGCTAATAGTGAAAGAGAAAAATGCCACTTGTTTGCTCGTCATTTCAAGCAAGTGTTCCACGATTTCTCCGCTTCGCCAACACAAGTGCTGGACGCTACTGTTGGGATGCCACGTGATGTGTTTAGTTTCGTTATTCCGCGCATTTCAAAAGACATGATAACCGCAACACGCAAACTGAAGCTCTCGTTCTCCGCCGGACCTGACGGCATTCCGTCATCAGTTCTAAAACGTTGTGTAGCCAATCTCTGCCTTCCAATCTCTCGGCACAGCAATGTGAGTTCCCCTGCAGCTGGAAACAAAAAATGAGATAAACGGAATGTCATAAATTATCGTGGAATCACCTCCCTGTGTGCCTGCTCAAAACTGTTCGAGATTATCATAAATGGTGCTCTGTTCGCACGCTGCAAAAATTATATCGATACAGAACAACACGGTTTCTACCCAAAGCGCTCCGTGTCCACGAACCTGGTGCAGTTCACTTCTAACTGTCTGCGATGCATGGATTCAGGATGGCAAGTCGATGCTGCGTATATGGATCTAAAAGCTACATTTGACTCGGTGGACCATAATATCTTGCTGGCCAAGCTGGAGATACTTGGCATCTCGTCAACTGCTGTGGATTGGTTCAGATCTTACTTGGTGAATCGCTATGTACATGTCAAGATTGGCGCGTCGGAATCGAATGTTTTCTCAAACAACTCGGGAGTCCCGCAAGGCAGTAACCTAGGACCGCTACTATTTTCGATCTTTTTAAACGACGTCGCCATCAGGATGCCGCGTTTTCTATGCATATGTTACATATTTTTGCAGATTGATGCTCAAGAAATTTGATGAGTCTAAGCATAGAAAAATGTAACATTATTTCCTATCACCGAAAAATCAAACCAATCATGTTTGACTATGTTCTCTACGGACGCTGTCTTGCTCCTGTAGAGCACATAAAAGATCTCGGCGTTACCTTGGACTGCAGACTCACTTTCAGAAGCCACTACAATAACATCATCTCCAGAGCTAATCGACAATTGGGCTTTATTTTCAAAATTGCCGACGAGTTTCGTGACCCGCAATGGTCACTTTACTGCTCGCTTGTGCGATCCTTATTGGAGTCAAGTTCAGTTGTTTGGTGCCCTTTCCATGCTAGCTGGATCACTAGAATTGAATCCGTTCAACGCAAGTTTGTGAGATATGCTCTTCGTTTCCTCAACTGGTGTGCCCCAAGGAACCTGCAACCGTACGAGGAGCGTTGCCGTCTCCTGGGAATCGAGCCATTAGAGGTGAGACGGACGGTCGCTCAAGCTATGTTCGCTGGAAAGCTGCTTACAGGTGACATTGACTGTCACAGCTAAATATGTATGCCCCTGAGAGGTCTCTTCATCAACGCAACTTTCTGTTTTTGGAACCACGGAGCCGGAATTATACACAACACGAGCCAATTCGAGCAATCAGCCGGCAATTCAACAATTTTTTTATATGTTCGAGTTCAATGTATCAGCTGACGTGTTCCGTCATCGGCTACTTGCCCTAATAAAAAATAACCATAAACGAACGACAACACAAATCATTGAACTATTCCACAAATGGTTTGGATGATACCCAGAACACGTCGTTAAGCAAATTAACCATACAATTTTTATTAGGGTGGCCTTTTCCGTACCGTTGACCGTAACTATTTAGTTTAAGTTTTATTCATTTAGACAATAATTGTCAGTTAAATTTTTAAATAAATAAACAAATAAACAGTGACTTCCCCACTTAAAAAACCTCTTTGACAACTTGACGGCGCTGGCGTTGCACAACTTACACTAGACCACAGAACAGAAGGGGAAGTGCAAACAAATCGGTGAATCAAAAAGTGCTTCGTTTTATTGCTCAACGAGCGATGTGTTGGGTAGCGTTCCACACGGGCTTTCTATGTGCACTCACACTATCATAGCATGCTGCCTATCTTAACTGCAGGCAGAAGATGCCTTCTACCGCTAGGTGCGCTAGTGTTCGCAAATGACAAGTGGAGCCACTTTCTGATTCGAAGTTCCACTCCTGTGACTAGAAGCTAAGTGCTGGTAGCGCAAAAAATTCCGATACTAGCGCCAAAATGGTCGAAAGTGGAAAATTTATAGAGGAAATCAGGAGATACTGGCGTCACGTATCGGCGATGTTCCCACTTATCTCTACACAAGTTTCTGACCGAAGTTGGACGTCTGTTCTCTGTGGTTAACGCAAGCTTCGGCTCAGTGGAAGCGTTCGTGGTCAAGTAACCTCCTACAGTATTGGACAAAACATTTGCAACCAATAAACCAACATCATTAAACTGTTCAGAAAAGAGTTATGGTAGGTCAATTTTCAGAAAGACATGCAAACGGTTACAAGCAGCATACTTCAGGTTTATTTTAACAAACAACTCATTATTCATACAGAATATTTCATCAATTTAAAAAAAGTACAAAAGAAAATGCTTTCGTCCCGGACAAAACAAGTGCAACTTTGCATATTGTTCGCCAAATATTGCTTGGCTTTCAATATTTTGTAGCGAATCCTTTATTATCGATTACAGCCTTGCACCTTTGGGGCATAGACTCGATCAGGTTGTCAATGAAGTTTTGTGGAATCGCTGCCCAAGCCTTTTGGATTTGTTCAAACAATTTATCCTTATTGCGAACACCTTCACGATCAATTCTTTGATTCACGGTCTCCCAAAGATTCTCGATTGGGTAAGGTCCGGAGATTGGGGTGGCCAGTCCATCACAGATATCTGGTTATCCTTAAACCACTGTTTGACCACTTTAGCGGTGTGCTTGGGGTCGTTATCTTGTTGAAAAATCCATCTGATTGGCATATTCCATTCGGCATGAGGTAGCATGACATCTTTTAGGATGCCATTGTACATGAAACGGTTCATAATTCCAACGATGCGATGAATCGGACCAAGGCCGTTAGCAGAAAAACATCCCCAGACCATTACGTTGTCTCCACCATGTTTCACGGTCTTTTGACAGTACCGTGAGTTAAGCGTTTTCCGATTTGTCAACGTACACGGCAAATTCCGTCGCTCCCGATGATGTTGAATTTCGATTCATCACTGAACAGGACCGTCCGCCATTTCTGCACAGTCCAGCCTATGTGAGATTGAGCAAATAGAAGTCTTTTCTTCTGATTCTTCAATGAAATTAGTCGTCTGACTGTCCGATCCGAAACAGATAGCTGCAATTCCTATTGTACCTTGAAGGATGATTTGAAAGGATCCTTCTTAATGCATCTGGCAATCATAGAGTCCTCTCTGGAAGTGGTGGAGCGTGGTCTTCGCCCTCTGTGGGCAGTAGGAATCTTCCCGGTTGAACGAAATTTGGAACATAGTCGTGATATGGTCCACTTTTTCACACGATATTTATCACAAATCTGTTTTTGCGACATTCCGCACTTGTAGTCCTCGATAATTTTCTTTCTCAGTTTCAATCCAAGGCTGTCAGGAGCCATTTTAGCGCTTGATGTAACAAATATTACAAAGTGTAAATATTGAAATCTTAAAAGGTTTATCGTGTAACATTTACCTTGCGATGGTACAATAACGCAAAATACAACACTTTTGTTGTAAAATGAAACCTTTCCCACTTGTTGCACCAAAACTTTGACAGTAAAAGCAAAAGAAACCGTAATGTTGCACTTGTTTTGACCGGCGCAAAATGGTGCTTGTCAACAAAACTCTAACGAGGGGCTGTCATTGAATTACTGATTACTCATGTAATCATGTAGTACTAATCCTGACTCCCGAACCGTCAACTGCAGTATCTTACTTCGTTTCAATTTTAGAACACTGACATTTACTGTCGCGGTTTGTTATTGTTCGATATCAGTTGCACATGTTTTGTCCAATACTGTACATCTTCGTCGAAAGACCACGACAAATGGGGTCGCCAATAACCACAACAGTATTACAAACAGCGGCATTTACAGACAAACGGAAGCGTTTGTTGCCTAAAACGGAACACTACTGATGTATTCGAATCTTGTCGTTGGATTAGAATTTTCGTTATTTTGAAGCTTTCAGGGCCGGTTATTCAATGCGTGTTTGCCGTGCCATATTATACTAAAGAATCGACCGAATCACGAAATCCAATTCTGAAAAACAAAGTTGTTAGTATTAAACCCGTTCGGCACTAAAGGAAAATCACCTTGCGTCGCACTTTGGGTTACGTTCTGTTACTTGTCCATGTTTTCCATTGTTTATTTTTTTCCTTTCTCAAATCATACCTCTCTATTAAACACTAATCACAATTTCTTTCTTCCTTTTTTTTTGTTTTGTTAGTCAAATATCATATCGTTATTATTTACTGATTTTGTTTTGTTCTGCTGTGTGGTTGGTTTCTATCCTGCCGGTAGTTTTCCTCCCTGTTTTTTCTCCACACAAAGATCGGTTTGTTTTTCATAAATCCAATCCACACAAACGCGCACGAGGGAGGGTACGGAAAAATTGTGTGTTTTTTTTCTTCTTTTGTTCCAAATATAAGAGTTATGTTTTGCTGCTACGGTTTTATAAGATAAGATTTCCTCAACTTCGTGTAATTTACTCTGCTGGCCCCTTCGGGGAAAGCAGCCACAAACAGGTGGTCAATCGAAAGGCCATCATTCTGTTTTATGTTTGGGTGTATGTATTGTAAATGGGTTTAGAGCTGCTACAGGGCTCGGTGTATGTTTGAGTTCTACATAATTCTTGGGCCATCTCATTCGTCTAGGATTACCATTCCAAAGTCTGAAGTCTCCTTGTAAAGTCCTGCTTCGTGTCATTTGGTAGTTCATAATAAAATGTCGTGAAAGTAGAGTCCGCGGTGATCATCTCCTACAACAGATCTATACACACACACACAATATTCTGGTTGCGTCGCGGTAGAATATTTCAACCCTGCAAGGGTCGGTGATTACGTAGTTTGAAAAAAACGTCGCCATCCTTCTCTGTATCTACATCTCCTAATGTGACGATTCTCGGTTTGCATGAAACGAGAGCCGCCTGTACGCCAAAGAATAGGTAGTAAAAATGGAAACATGTTGATTTTGCATACCCAGAACGGTAAAGCTATAGCGGATGGATGCTTCACTCTAGAATTGGAAGCCGTCCATTGGCACAGATTGATCGGCGTTGAATTGGAACTGGTTGTTCTCAGTAGATGGCGCAACGGCCACGTCCTCCTCGTCATTGCTGAAGTACGTCCGGATTATGTTGAAGGTTTTCTCGTAGATCTCGGTGTTTTGATGCGACTGCAGGAATTCGATTTTGTCTAGACCTGCGTGTTGGGGAAGAAGCATACAATGGAAGCGTGTTGTTGAATTGATCGACGAACCAAACGCAGCAGCAGACTAACTTACCGTAGCATTCCTCAATCAGAACGGCGTAGGGATTTGGTTTGACCTTGTGTTGGTTGCCTGCCTTGAGGATGTTTTCTAAGCCGTTCAGAGCCACCGTCACGATCTTCGGGTCCATCACGGTGAGCAGTTCGCACATGGGAGGTACGCAACCGGCTTGCACCTGTTAATGCGGAGCATCGATGTAAGTACTATTCACCATTTAACAGATTTGTAAAATTAGCTTACCAAGTACTTGATCTGATCCACGGTGCCACCGCTGGTGGCGTTTGTGATTGCCCAGGCCGCCTCTTTCCGCGTCTTGAAGTCCGCCTTCGACAGCAGATCGATAATGCCCGGGAAGATGTTCGCATCGATGACGGCCTGGATTTGCTGCCGATTGCCGGCGGCAATATTCGAGATGGTCCAGCAGGCCTCCTTCCGGATCGTTTCTTTTGGCGAACTGAGCAGCTGCAGGATACACGGTAAGGCATTGCAGTTGAGAATTAGCTGTGTCTGGTTGTCGTTGCCGGTGACGATGTTGCCAACTGCCCGCAGAGCCGCCGAAACGACGTTGTTGTTGTTGTGTCTGCGCGGAAAATGGAATAAGACGCAAATTAGACGGCTGAATTGATTCGCCCAATCCTATCATGCCAACTTACAATAGCAGTTCGACCAGCCTTCGACAGCAGCCGGCCTCGATGACTGCCTGAATGTTATCGTTCGGTCCATCTGATAGATAGCTCACAGCCCAAACGGCATCGCCTAGCACTTCTACATCGTTGTGGAACATCAACCGGGCTAAAATGGGTAACCCTTTCTCTACTTTTGAGAAATCTGGCGGTGGGTTCTTTCCGCGGCATAAGTTCGACAAAGCCCAAACAGCATTCCGAGTCAAATTCAATCGCGTCGAAGTACTTAGAACACTGAAAAAATAAATCGAAACAAATCAATACTGCTGCCACAGCTACCCTAGCAAAGGACCTACTGTAGCAATGGTTCTAGCACGCCAGCGTCCAGTACGAAGTTTCTGCACTCCGGAGAATCACCGGCAATATTGCCCAGCGCCCAGACGGCCTGCTCCTGTACATCGATGTGCGGGCTTTCCAATAGCTTGATGAAGATCGGAACGGCACCGGCCCCTATCACTACGCTCGTTTGCTCTGATGTACCGGAAGCGATATTGGTCAAAGCCCAGGCTGCTTCAAACTATAAAAAAAAAGGAACAAAGCTCCTTCAAGCTCCCAACAAACAAACAGTACCCCTCCAATCGATTCAAACCTACCTGCAGTGTCGAGTTGGTAGTGTTAGCCAAGAATTCCACAAACCGTGGCACAATGTTGTGCTGAATGACCAGATCGATCGGTGGATTCGGCTCCTTTGAGAGTAACTTTCGGAATTTCTGCGTCGCGGCCAGCTGGTCTTCCACGTTGGTGCTGTACAGGGCCTGGATCGTTTCCGGTTTGATCAGCGGGTGTGCATCGGCCGTTTGAGGTTCGTCCTGTCGAATCAATTATCAAATAGTATCAGATCGGGTTGAAAGCTGCCGGAAAGACAGTAGGTAAACATACCGCCAGGATAGCGTCCTGGTCCAGTTCCTCGGCAACGTTGACGTTTCTCCGTTTGATCAGTTGCTGTTCGCGCTTCTGCTTGCGCAGCTGGATGCCCTCCTCTTCGCGGCGCCGGCGCATTTCTGTCGAGTCTAGGCCGACATTCTTGTACCGATGCCGATGGGCTGCGTTGTTCGACATCTGAAATGGGGGAGCAATCGTGCGGCAAGTTGAGGTTTAGTAGAAAACGTTTGAATGAACATCACTTTTCAATGGTATAATGGCAGAACGGTATAAACGTCGCCTATTGCGATAATCAGGACATGTGCTAGGTACGCACCACATGCCAGGTTATGACAGGCAAAGCTATGTCCTACCCATGATTTTTTAGGGAATCTATTAAAAAAAAATAAACGAACTATTTGAAAATTGTGAGTCTATAATCGGACTAAATCGTGTTAAACTCATCAAATTACATCAGAATTCAAAAAGAAGATCAATGGTGGTCATATTGAGCGTCCAGGACCAAATGGGTCACATCCGGACACGTTTCGTGTACCCCAGCAGAAGTGACCAGTTTCTGACTATAACCAAAACCTGTCTTACGGCACCTCAAATCACATGAGAATTCAATAACATAAGCAATGGTGGTTATATCAAGCGGCCAGATTTACATTAGACATCCGAACATATTTTGAGTATACCTTGGGTAGTTTCCAGTACCTTTTGTATGTATGTATGTATGTATGTAAAGGATACCACTCATTGTTGCAAGGCACAGCCATTAGACAGTGGATCATCCTCCAAGTATGACTTGATCAAGTACGATACCTGGCTGTATTCAATTTACCATTGTAAGAAGGGCCAAAAACGGAGGGGCGGACCCGTAAGCAGATACACTTACACGCAATCCGCGGGGTCAGGAGAATTGCCTTCCAATGATAAAATCCTATAACCCGATGTAGAATAAGCCATCATACGAGGGAACGTCCCAATGAGTGGGGAGAAGAGCCTGCCGTCAATTTAGTTTCCAGTTTCCAGTACCTTTTAAGGGCCAAAACCCATCATACCACTCACAATATTTTCAAATCTAAATAGATTAAAAGTTACGCTAAATTGCAACTCTCCTGACCGACGCATAGCTTGGTATAAAGAGAGAGAAAACACACTTAGTATAAAAATGCTTTATACGAAGGCAAGTACATATAAATCCCTGTTATGTGTAATTTGTATAGTTTGCATTTATGCTTACGCTGTTTAATCTGAATGGGGACGATATTGATTTTGAGTGTTTTTGTTTGTTTTTAAAATATCGCATTTCAACCAGTTATCTTTATTATGTTTAAAAAATTATCGTCTCATTATGCCAACAATCTCTTCCCATTTGTTAACATCACAATCTTCCAGTACTCGTTGTACGCATTGATGTACATCCGGGCTGCAGATTTCCAGCATCTAGCCCATAACGTTCTTATTGGTTTGCAGCCCATGACAATCCCAACCGAACCGGCGCTACACATGGTGCCTTTGCTGGTGGACATATCGGATCACAATATCCCTCGCCGTTCCGGTTGAATATGGCGTAACAAGACAACCCGCTCTGGTTTATCTATTTCGAAAATAGAAAATTTCCATTTAATGGTTTATAAATTGCACAATTGTAAAATCGAGAGTTGCATCCAGAAATTTAGCTAAAAGCTTAAAGCAGGGCTTAAATCTACTCACCTTAACTTCTTTGGATTGATTCAGAAGGTCTAAAAGACATTTTCTTATTTCCAATAGTCCAGAACATTTTCTTCCTTGTTTGGAATGCTGATGGTCTCCGGCAATACAGCAAAGCATAGAAAAGGTTCCTTTTAATATTAATATTTAGTATAAAATGAAAATCTACATTAGATTACTTCTTATACATAGTGATGGGTAAAAAGCCTCTAATCGAAAAATGTATAAATTTTATACATTCTGTGTTTAATAATATTTTTGAGTGACGACATATGGAAGAAATCAATACGGATCAGATCTCACCCAGAGACGATGTTAAATAATATAAGAGACGCGCGAACGCGAAGACTGCAACCAACAATTCCAATCGAACTGTCATTGTCTAATCGTACAATGTAAATCAACACGATCGCTTCACGAGGAAAAGCGTGGGGAGTATTGAGATTGAGGTTGAAATTAAATTTTGGAGATTTAAAAATTAATTATAAATAAGTTTGCGTATGAAGAGTATAAATCTAGACTCACATTTGAAAGGGGAACTCCAAAATGTAAACAAACCATATTTTGCCACATATAGAGAGAACAGTTCACAAACTACTCCATAAACACGAAAAATTAGAAGAAAATATCTCTTCAAATCATCAAAAATGTTTCTTCTTACATGGCGTATTTCCAACTTTCAACTCTATGATGAATCTGGTTGTTACGCCTTGCACCAGTACTACGAATTATATTGTTTTAATATGCCAAACGTACTGATTCTGTAGTATCTAGTCACGCCCGATTCATTTGAAATGCATCCGATTGATAGTTCACGTGTAACCAACGAACAAAAAGAAGACCAAAAAAATCTCCGGGCGTAATTACACTCTCAGAAAATTTACGAACGAAGAACCAAGGCGGAACAACAAACAAAAAATCCCGAGGATGTATTTCCACGGCGTATCACCAGTGTTGGCAGTTCAAAGAATGGAAGATCCGGGGGGTAACAACATGTAAGAAATTATCAGGGCGTATGATGTTTTATTCTCAATTTCACGACAAAGAAAACTTTTTTTGAGTTTTCAGTGATGCATGATGATAGATTACACTATTAACTATTTTGCAAGCTTATAAAATCATCCAGAAAATGGAAATTCGTGAAATAGGATTAATTTTTAGGTCATCAAAATTCGGAAGCGATTTTATCGATATGGTAATTTTGGAGTTACGCCCTTTTAAAATGTTAGTCTAGAAATCATCAATCAATTCAGGCCTATTATAATCTTTTACATCTTCATAAATCTGTTCCCTCTTCAAATCCGCTTCTACTTCAAAAACTGGAACTGTACTCAGAACTGCTAATAATTTTCCGCTGTCCGATGTCACGCATAAATCTAAGTCGGACGTGGAATGTAGCTAAATGAAAATAATTTAATTTAACATCGAATTTCATCTTTTTGGCTGGTAAACGGCTGGACAATGCGTACCATCGATACTTCGCGTATCTGCAGGTATAAAATAGACCCCAACAGCCTCTTGTCCAGTTACTCCTATCCTTACCTCTCCGCGGTGCCGGCTGGGGTACGAGAAACCATAGGAAATATCGGGTAACCAACCCCGGTGGAACCTTGGTCGTATAGTGACAGGGAAGGGGGGAGTCCTCTCTCCGGAGAATGCAGTCTTCGAGCGTCTGTTCACCATGGGGGTGCGGCTCAAAACGGCGTCTGTTCTCCATGTTAGGAGCGGCTGATCAACGTCCTGGTGCCAGCGTGGGACTCTAAACAGTGCTGTGCACGATGGTCCTCCGGCGAGACAATGATGGTTGGTGCAGGCCCTACAACTTCTTCTTCTTCTTCGCATTTCAAGCTTATTGCATATCGCATATTAGCTTATTGCGTGCTCTCAACTTAGTGTTCTAGATGCACTTCCACAGTTATTAATTGAGAGCTTTCGATGCCTGTACCATTTTTGCATTGGTATAATTGTGTGGCAAGTCCAATCATACTTCTATGCCCAGAGAAGTCGAGAAATTTTCCAACCCGAAAAATTCCTAGACCGGACCGGGAATCGAACCCAGCCACCTCCAGCATGGTCTTGCTTTGTAGCTGCGCCATTACCGACTGAGCTAAGGCAGGCCCTACAAGCAAAGCCGTAAAAAACTAAAGTACAGGAAGCAAGCAATGTAAATACGGACCGGAATAATCGGCACAGACCCAGGCAACGAAAACGGACTAACGATTGGAAACTCGAAACATGGAACTGCAAGTCTCTAAATCTCTTGGAAAGTACCCGCATTCTTTCCGATTTATTGAGGGTCCGCAAGTCCGACATTGTATAGCGCTGCAGGAAGGGATCGTCGGTACATACATATAGGGATGGTTATACCATCTACCAGAGGTGCGACAATACACATGAGCTGGGTAAAGCTTTAATCGTGATGGGCGAAAAGCAGAAGCGCGTGTTTAGGTTGTGGTCAATCGATAGCAGAATGTGCAAGTTGAGGATCAACGGCCGTTTCTTCAATGTCAGCATAATCAACGTGCACAGCCCTCACTTGGCAACCCTAATAACAATTGTATGGTTAATTTGCTTAACGACGTGTTCTGGGTATCAACCAAACCATTTGTGGAATAATATCGGAGATAATAACGCTCAGGTCGGCCAGGAGGAGGAATTCAGATCGGTTATAGGAAAGTTCAGCCCTCACCAGCTAACGAACGCCAACGGCCTCAGACTCATCGATTTCATCGCCTCTAATAACATGGCCATACGCAGTACCTGGAAGTAGGCATAGCCTCACATATCTCGGACATTGTCGACGTCAGGATCTATCACGACGCAAACATCGATTCGGACCACTACCTTCTAATGGTTAAGGTACGCCAAAAACTTTCCGTTACCAACAACATTTGGTACCGAGGCCCGCCACGGTACAATCTGAAGCGACTGAAGCTGCCCGAAGTCGCAACTGATTACGCGCAATGCCGCGACCCAGCGTTGCCGGATGAAGGAGAGCTCACCGAAGCCCCTCTTGCTGACTGCTGGAACAACGTGAAAGCAGACATTAACGGCGCTGCTGAAGGTGCCATTGGGTTTGTGGAGCGGAATCGACGGAACGATTGGTTCGACGAGGAGTGTCAGACGGTTTTGGACGAGAAGAACGCAGCGCGGGCGAGGATGCTGCACCGAGGAACCAGTCAAAATGTGGAGCGATACAAACAGAAGCGAAGACATCTTTTCCGGGATACGAAGCGCCGCCTGGAAGAGCTGGTGTGCGAAGAAATGCAGCAGCTGTATCGTTCTCACGAAACGCGCAAGACCTACGAGAAACTCAACGCATCCCGCAAAGGCTTTGTGCCGCGAGCCGAAATATGTCGGGATAAGGAAAGGGGTATCTTGACGGACGAACGTGAGGTGATTGAAAGGTGGAAGCAGCACTACCAACAATCAATTCGAAACTAACGATTTTAAATTGGCTCACTACTTGACTAGCCTAT